GCTGTAGATTTTACCTTATTCGGCTCTTTTTGCTTTTCACCCAACCTGCAATTTTTTACAAGTAAAATTACTGTTACCACCAACCGATTAACAAGAAAATTGGCATGCGGACTAATCGAGCCATGACAAACATATTTGGTCTTTATAATTAACCTTGTAAAACCACTCATTACATCATAAAAATGATGCTCTTAGGATGTAGGGAGGGGGGGGGGGGGGGGAGGAAAAAGAGCCCTTTACTCAATTCTAAAGTACCTGCAGATAAAAAAACTCATACCTTCATACCTCAAAATGGATTTGTTGTGGGTTAATTGGTTATTTGATCTGAATCATCCGTGACTCTTTAGGATATTTCAACTGCATAACGCTGTCAATTTACAAGAAAATGGGGCAAAAAGTTACAGAACCAACTTTTTAAAAGTTTTAAACTAAAAAATGCGTTTTCCGGCGCACTTCTTTGTCTCACGATTAGTTGATATTGGCGCCAAAAAGGTCTTCAGAAAGACTTGAAGAAATTTTTTTTTCCTGGGCGTAACAAAAGCGTCTTCCTTTGCGCAATCCCCTCAAGTATTACTGCTACTAGGCGTGGCCTGACGATGCTCTGCAAGCAGTGGCCACTCGGTTCCTGGGGGACATCGAAATGACAGATGAGGTGAGAGATGGGTGCATCTCCCTCTGCAAGAAGTTCCACACTTCCACACGGGACCTCAGCGACAGTTTCCACGCACAGCTGCAGAGGTAAATAATAACTCCCCCACAAAAGAATTTCATTTTATATTACAGACAGTATATAATAACCCCCCCCCCCCCCCCCTACACACATACACTTAAATTTCATTTTGCCTAGAAGAAGTAAACAGTAATCTCCCCCCAACCGAACATCAAAGTTTAGTTTTTTTAACAAAAAAAATTTCAACGTTGTCACAATGCAATGAAATTTGGTATGATGAACAAACAAGCAGTTTTTTTAATGATCTTTTTCTCATATTTTACATAGTAACTTTACAAATTCATCCATTGTAAAACATAAGACAGTCATAAAAAGTGTGATGGGAAGGGAAAACGAGCCATTGTAACTTGCAAAAATCTTGAAAAACCTTTACTCAGTCATTTCTTTGCGAATGTACAACACAATTTCTTTGCGAATGTGCGTGTCATACCGCTACTGCAGTAGCAGTACTCACTATACGGATGTACAGCCAACCTCTGGTGTTAAATCATTATTTTATGGTACGCTCAAGGTCATACATAAGTGATGACACTGAGACTAAGTGAGAGATCAGAGTACTTAACAACGATCTATCTCTCAGTACATAAGAAAACAAAGAAAAGAGAAAATCTAAATTCAATCTTCTAAATAAAGTATTGAATTCCAACTTGTTTTCAATTTGATATCGCAACGCATATCACATGGCGCAGCCAGCAGGATTCGCAGCTCAAGACAACAGAACGGATATGGGAATCCCGGTATTTTGGGCATCAGCAAATTTAGACCCTCCGTGGCAATTTAAAATTTGGTTCGAACAATTTCTCATGGCGGTTACGGTAAAAGAAAATGTGAACCCAGAGATTATTTTGGAAGAACCAAAAGACATATTAGAGGAACCACCACCACGCCCGGAAACGCCCAGGGATGGGGAGAACGAAGATGCGAGGAACGCTAAAATCCTTAGAGATAAACTAGCAAGAGACAGAGTAGCATTGGAGAACGAAGAGAAAAGAACAAGAGGCCCAAGAGTTGGACACAATGTCTTCTACAACGAAGTACAAAAGAAACTGGTGTCACGACTATTTCTATCTTTGGGCACTGAGGGAAAGAAAAGATTCCTACAGAAGAATCCGCACGCAGAAATATCAAAAATGACGTTCAGAGAAGTAACAGATCTGGCAGAAGTCTCGTTTCAAAAATTGAAATGTGTAACCTACGAGAGATACAAGTTATTTACGAGAATTCAAGAATCTGGAGAATCTCTAGAATCATTTCACGCAGCGTTAACTGCTCAGGCAGCCAGATCAGAACTAGGAACATTGGAAAATGAAATAGTGCGAGACTTATTCATCTCGAAGATGAAGAACATGACATTACAGGATACGTTGACATTCGAAACTCTGGATCCAGAGGAAGTTCTAAAAAGAGCTATAAAATTCGAACATAGCAAGTTAACCACAATGGCATTTCAAAAGACTAATGCTGCGGCTGCAGGAGGATCAAGTAGCAATTACACATCGGGTGTAAGAATAAAACAGGAACCTGTAATGGCAGTACGAAATTTGGGGGGGAAAACCAAAACTCCAAATAGAAGAGAAAATAATAACAGACAGAATAATAACAAAAATCAAAACACGAAAACGAAACCATGTAATAGATGTGGAAAGATGTTTGAACAAGGACACCTAAAAAACTGTCCAGCGATGGGAAAGGACTGTAAAAACTGTGGTAAACCGAATCATTTCGCTAAAATGTGCAGATCACAACAAGTAAGTGAAATTGCGGAAGATTCGGAAGAATCGATAGTGGAATGCGACCAGATCAGTGAAGGTGTTGGGTCATGTAGTGAATTTGATGTCATGTTGATACATACCCATTTACCTGAAAATGAACGAGTTTCAAAATATGTGAAAGATCGAATCAATGAAATGAGAAAAGAAACAAACGGAAAAGTGGTTAGAGTTCAGAAAATAGACTCTATTCGAGATCCAACATTGAACCGCGTAAAGTCACTAAAGGCTATGGTACGAATAGATAACCAGATTATTCAACTAACAGTGGATACTGGTAGTCCTGTTTCATTTCTTAACTGGGCAACGACGAAAGAAATCATGGAAAAATCAAACAAAGTGAGATTCATACCGTCCGACAAATTGAATTTACAAACCAAATTTGTGGACTACAACAAACAACCGATCAGTATCCTGGGAGCCCTAAAAACCAATCTGAGGTCAGCGGGCTGGGAAGTTAAGGGCGCAACCTTTCTGGTATCAGAGCGAAAAACTAGATGCATCATGGGATTAGACTTGCAAGGACAAGTGGGAATAGTGACTACACAAAGAACAGCGCCAAAAGAACTCACCAGGTTTGACGTGCTCATGTGCGAGCAGTCGGAAGGTTGGAAAGAAAAATTTTTCAATAAATTTAAGAACTTATTTGAAAGGCAAGGCATTTCTAAAAACCACATCGCCAGTTCAAAATTCAAATACCCACTATGTCCGATACAAGAAAAGGGGAGAAGAATCCCAATTCATATACAAGATAAAGTCGAAAAAGAAATCGAGAAGTTATTGACAGAAGGTCATATAACAAAACTTGATAAGTGTACAAGTGATTGCTTTATCGCCCCGATTGTGATAACAGTAAAGAAGGACGACTCAATAAAATTGGCAATGGACGCGAAACCAATCAATAGACAATTGTTTAAAAACAAATACCAAATGCCGAATGTAGACGAACTTATTGATGGGGTAAGCCAGATTGTAACCGAAAACAAAAAGGGTACGCTATATTTTTCGGTGTTAGATTTGAAATATGCGTACAGTCAATTAAAATTGGCTGCGGATACAGCTAGGCAATGTAATTTTAACATTGTGGGCGGAAAAGCAACCGGAACTTACAGATTCTTGACAGGATTCTACGGACTAGCAGATATGCCAGCTGAATTTCAAAAGGCTATGGATAGAACCATCAATCATGCTAAAAACACATTCTGTTTCCTGGATGACATACTTATTGTGTCAAAGGGAAGTGAAACCGAACATGCCAACCTAGTAGAAGCAGTATTAAAGAAATTGGATGCGGAAAATTTGGCACTGAAACTATCAAAATGTGAATTTTTTAAACAAGAAGTGAATTGGTTGGGTCATCATCTCTCAGAAGAAGGAGTTAGACCAAAGATCACTAAAACGGAAGCGGTAGTAAACTTGAACCCGCCGAAATCCCTAAAACAACTAAGGTCATTTCTAGGAAGCATAAATCATCTAGCTAAATTTATACCTAACGTAGCAAGTCTGACAGAAAAATTAAGACCTCTTCTTAAAGAAGAAAATCAAAAGAAAAAGTTAAAAAACATGAAACTCCCGGTGAAAAAATTCGAGTGGGGGGATGTTCACACAGAAGCATTTAATGCTATAAAAGGAGCTGTGGCAAATATTACGAAAGTGCATTATTATGATGCAAATCGACAAACACGAGTTAAGTGCGATGCTAGCCATGATGGACTAGGGACCACTTTAGAACAACAAAATGATGAAGGGTTGTGGGTCCCAATTTCGTTCGCATCTCGATACCTAAATGCTCAAGAAAAAACATACTCAACAAATGAGTTGGAACTATTGGCAGTTGTTTGGGCAGTAGACAGATATAAACACTATCTTCTGGGGAAACCATTTACCATCGCAACTGACCATAAAGCTCTTACAACAGCATTGGATGTTAATCAATCAAACAAGACCTATCAGTCACGCTTAACCCGGTGGGTTGACCGGTTACTGCCGTATCAGTTCAACATAGTTCACATTCCGGGGAGGGACATGGGCATAGTTGATTATTTATCGCGTGATCCTTTCAATGATCCCTGGCCCGAATCAGAATTAGACGAAAAGTTTGTAGTAGCTACGATAAACTCCTTTCATGAAGCGTTCGACTGCTGGAACAGTAGTAGGCTTAAAGATTCAAGTTCGCTCAACCGGAACGAAAACGTTCTAGAATGTTCTAGAAGGAATGTTAGGAAACAGTCATCAAGTAATGGTTGCTATAGCAACCAAAACGGTCAAAACCGAACAAAGCTCGACCGGAACGAGAGAAAAAATTTTCCACGACTGCAAAAACAGCTAAACACAACAGTTCAACAGAAACAAATCACTTTTTCGTCAAATCAACCCAGCAAACAGTCAGTCTCAAAAAATTGCAAAATAAAAAAACGACCAGTACCGGAAAAAATAGAAAAAACAGACTCAAGAATCGAGATGTCAGAAAATACAAACAAAACATACGACTGGTGGTCCAGCTCACCACAAGATTGGCGGAATGAGGAGCGTGAAGAAGTTTAATGGACCCAAAGTGGAACCGATCATTTTCCACCAACAACGAACTCTCGGGAGAAGAGGAAATCACAGAGACAGTACAACGTACAAGAAAGATTATACGAGGAGGAAGAAAAAATAGGGACAGCTCAGACAGCGAAACACGTCAACAACAACGAGTAAAATGGTCGCTGGAACCGGAACAACAACGAATAGCGGACCAAAGACTGCTCTCTTTCTGGCAATTAATAGGCGGAGAAAACAATGTTCAGGAAAATCGAGAACTGGTGGCCGATACTCAAGAAGTCAGAGAAAATCTGGAAGACGAATTCAATCCAACATCGTCAAAACCGATCGCATCGACAGAACGAAAACTCAGTGAGGTGAACGTAATAGAAGTCGACCTAACAACCACAGAAGAGGCGGAGAGTGAGGAGGAAGTGTGCTCAATCCAACCGCCAAAGGGTCTAGGAAAGTTAAGGCTGCAAAAGCAGCAACAAGTAGAGACTCTGGACAACCTCGCAAAACTGTTCGACAAAAACTTACTAGCAGAACTGACCACAGAAGACACGTGGATGGACCGCCTCAGGAGAGTGATAGAGAGAGGGGACAAACAAGGATTCGAACTGATGGGACCCTATACAAATCCGTTGTGGTCGCAGATGGCAGTTCAGGACGACTGCATCTTGGTGAATAATCGGCTAGCAGTACCAGTTCAACTACGACAAGCTGTCCTGAAACGAATACATCGGGGACACCCAGGACAGGAAGCGATGTTGGGAGCAGCGCAATATCTGTGGTGGCCACACATGAATAAGGACATCGTGAATTTGGCAGAGGAGTGCCGTAGTTGTCCCAGATATGGTAAGAATGTAAAATACCTTATTTCGAAAAATTCGTCAAAACCACTACCACTGCTCACGCAGCCGGGACAGGAGGTACAACTAGACTATGCGGGGCCTATAGAAAATCAAAAAGGAAAAAAAATCTATCTTTTAGTAGCTATTGATCGATTCTCAAAATTTCCATCTGTGAAGGTTACAAAATCCACAAGCGGAAAAAGCACAGTAAAATTCTTGAGATCATATATCGACACTCATGGAGTCCCTGAATCAATTCGTTCGGATCAATTTTCAGGCTTTAAGGGAAAAACTCTAAAAAAATTTTGTTCGGAACTCAATATCGAGCAAAAATTCTGTCCGGTGGGGGATCACAGAGGTTGTGGGTTGGTTGAACGTACAATTCAAACAATAAAGAGAAGACTGGGAGTGATGATGCTCGATGAAAATAATAAATCAATCAAATTATGTCTCAGTATTATAATGCGAGATTTACGATGGAACAAGCAGAAAACAATTCAAGTATCCCCGTTCCAAGCACATTTCGGCAGACTACCAAAAACAGAATTTAAAATTGTGAGGGATAGGTTTTTAAATAATTCTGATTCTTTAGACAAACAACACTTGGAACGCTCAGCACTGACTGCGTCTCAAATGAAAAGGAGGATTGACCAGTCAAGAGAGAATCTCAAGATAGTGCGCAAGGGACAACTGAGCAGGGATACAAGCCCACTGCACAAGCAGCAGCTAACATCGGACAGAGACAAAGAAAGAGCCAAAGCTCTAAAGGAATTGTTGGAGGCAAACGCCCGTTGGAACTACGAAAGAAGGGACGCAGCTAAAAATGACATCAGGAAATTAGTGGACGAGACAGGTCAACTCAATCCCGACCTTCGAAAAGAAATGATTTACTCTTGGGAAAAAGGATTTGTGGAAGATAAAGTAGAAAACCAATGCAAGTCACCACCCAAGACAATACTTAGAAAGGACCCCCTAAGGAAAAGCGGACAAGCCCTAACCAGACCACTAAAGGGGAAAATAGCTTCAGAAACGGAATCAACAATTAAGACATCGGCCGGTTCGATCTATAGAAAATCGGACATAGCTCAATCAAAAACCGTACTTACACAAGAAAAACAGAGAAGCACAAGTAAAAGTCCATCGTCGGAACCTACAAAAAAGTTCAAACGAGTCAGTTCTCCAGAACTACTAGAGGAGTTGGAATCGGAGGACGAACTCCAAGGAGAAATGGAAATCGCAAATGAAATGGACCCAATAGAGCGCTTTCAGAAGAGCCAAACAATCGTCACTTCTAAGGACACAGAAGCCGGGGGAGGATTGAATCTTGCTATAAAAAGAGCAAAACCAAATTTGGCGGGACCAAAATCATCAGAGGAAATAATCACGAACAAGCCGGAAAAAAGCGGAAAAGAGAAGAAAGGCCGAAGCAAACAACAACAGGGGACAAACGCAAACCAAACTGCGACTGCAGTCAACTCGGAACAAGAGCAAGCAATATCTAAGCCGGATTCGGTCACAGTAGATACCAAAATCCAGTCGAGTTCTACGCCGAAAACCAAACAGCGTCCGAAACTGAAGGGCATTGACGTGCACACCCCTCTTGAAGATATAGTGGAGACTTTTCACAATAGAAATTTGGCACCATCTGACTGGGAAAAGTACGCGGACCAATTGTTAAAAAGAGGAGTGCAGCGAGTTGCGGATGAACTTAGAGAAAATCCTCAAAAAGGCTCAGAATTGGATACGAATTTCGAACCACCACAAGGATTCTCGGACGAATCAAGTGCGGAAGAGTCAGGTGTTCGAAGGAGTTCAAGACAAACAAAAAATAAAGAACCCAAACGTTTCGGAGATCCGATAAAACATTCAATCAAAGAAATATCCGAAAATCTTACAGGCAGAAGTCTTTTGAAGGAGGCACTTAAAGAATACAGAAACCAGCTGAGAGAGTTCAAAGATCGGGAAGACAGACCTTTGGAATCAAAAGTGCGGCGACTCGAAAGACATTTATTTATGCGAAAATTCGGATATGCCACTTTAGATGAAGGAGTAGATTGGAACCCGAGTTGGGAAATTGAGCTAGAAGAAAACTGAAATCTTGGGAATCCGCTTTGCAACAAACTTCCAATTACCTAATCACCCTGTTTTAATTACATTTCTGCTTTTTTCTCAAAATTTAGTTTTATGTTTGTATTTTAAGGTACAATTACGTCACGCCTACTTCGTACTTGGAGTTGATCAGCACTTACAAAACGCTCTTGGATAAAAAACGAACGTAAGTTTCTTTATAAATGATTTTTATTAGTTAGCTTTTTAAGATCTGCTAAGCTGAAGAATGATGTTTTCTTCTGCAACTATTCTTAAGCTTTCGTACACATTGACACTACGTTCATCAGACATCATGGCTCTTTTCCAGTTCCCCCCCTTTCAAATTTAATTTTGAAAAGCTTATTTAACGTTGTCATAATGCAATGAAATTTGGCGTGGTGAACAAATCGACAACTGTGAACAGATTTGTGCTTCATACTTTACAGCGTAACATCACGCATTTAGCCGTAATAACACGTAAATCAAACATAAAACTCGGTATTTTGAAAGGGGGGGACTGGAAAAGAGCCGACATCATGTGTGGCTAGGTTAAATTAGTTCTCTCAAGATACCTACCTGGGATGACCAAAACTGCGGCTACTCAAACATTTCTCATCTATGACCCATACTTTCCAAACAGATAAAAAAAATCGCATAAAACTCTACCCGATGAAGTTCCATGGATAATAATTGGTTATATTGATTTTCGTTTTCAAGAATGTTGCCATTGTAACCAAGAATAATCCATAATTATGCATTTTTTTCAAAAAAGTTCAAGTCGAGTATAACCCATTAAAGACTAATGAATTATGATGGATTATAATCTGTGCAAAATTTTTGCAAAGTGTTATCCATTATCCGTGTAGCCTCATTGCGGGTTTGACTGGCGATACTCATCAACCAAAAAGTAATTTTGTCTAATTTTCGTTCTCCTTCTTATAGTTACTTGGTTGTATTATTAATCAGACAGACACGCGTGAGAAAGACTCCGGTTATTTAAAACCTTCGGGCTTGTCAGCATTTACGATTTTACATATACCACATACATGGCGACCAGTTTGAAAAAGTTATTGTACAATTTACATATTGAAAATGTTAAACTGCTAATTTTTGGCTGAACTTTTTGATGATGCGGTTTTTTTCTATCAAACAGCAAAAAAGTAACGTCATGAAAAATAATAATGACTTCTAGTTTCAAAAACAGACTTGATTTTTCTGAATTCAGCGGAACAAAAAATTATCCATTGATCCAATTTTCTCTCAATGGGTTAGTTTTCAAAAAAAAAACGCCATTGATTAACCATTCTTAAAATTCAGAGCTCTTATTACTTTTTCATCAAAATTAGAAAGTATTGAGTAACCAATCATTTTTTTCTTTTACACGAATTCATTGACAATTTTCCAGCTGCTTGTTCTTGGCTATAGGTTGTAGACAGTAAAGGCGCTTCCAATAAAAACGATCAATAACTTACCCTTCCCCAAACTAACCAAAAAAAATCGTTTACCAAAAAAAAAGTAATCAACAAAATTAAAAATTGACTGCACGGCAGCATTACTATCGGCTGAAAAAGAATGATTTTAACTAAGTGAACTCCGATTTCCTCAAAAAATGACTTGGAATGGGGGGGGGGATGCTCAATTGTTGCTGTTTGCCGTTCGGCAACAATTGTTTTTGGATATTCTATTGTTTTTGGATATTCCGGACTATTGTTTTTGGATATTCCTATTGTTTTTGGATATTAACTATTGTTTTTGGATATTCCGGACACCTGTACAGGATTTTCAATTTATATTTTTTAATAACTCAAATTATAGATGAATAAAGATAACACCTAAAAAATCACTTACTAACAAAAGGTTGACCTGCTAAAGTTTAAGTACTGAATTCGAACCATTATTAAACATCAACAATGTTTATTTAATGACTCATTGATGACTCATTTATTTAATGACTCATTTATTTAATGACCCATTGATGACTAATCATTTTAAGAACTTAACTATATAATGATTCAAATATTTAACGACTCATTGATGTCTCATTTACTTAATGACTCATTGATGGCTTATTTATTTAATGACTCATTGATGGCTTATTTATATAATGACTCATTGATGGCTTATTTATTTGATGACTCATTGATGGCTTATTTATTTGATGACTCATTGATGGCTTATTTATTTGATGACTCATTGATGGCTTATTTATTTGATGACTCATTGATGGCTCATTTACTTAATGACTCATTGATGGCTTATTTATTTGATGACTCCTTGACGGCTTATTTATATAATGACCCATTGATGGCTTATTTATTTGATGACTCATTGCTGGCTCATTTAATTAATAACTCATTGATGGCTTATTTATTTGATTACTCATTGATGGCTGATTTATTTGATGACTCATTGATGGCTTATTTGTTTAATGACTCATTGCTGGCTCATTTATATAATGACCCATTGATGGCTTATTTATTTGATGACTCATTGATGGCTTATTTATTTGATGACTCATTGATGGCTCATTTACTTAATGACTCATTGATGGCTTATTTATTTGATGACTCCTTGACGGCTTATTTATATAATGACCCATTGATGGCTTATTTATTTGATGACTCATTGCTGGCTCATTTACTTAATAACTCATTGATGGCTTATTTATTTGATTACTCATTGATGGCTGATTTATTTGATGACTCATTGATGGCTTATTTGTTTAATGACTCATTGCTGGCTCATTTATATAATGACCCATTGATGGCTTATTTATTTGATGACTCATTGATGGCTTATTTATTTGATGACTCATTGATGGCTTATTTATATAATGACTCGTTGATGGCTTATTTATATAATGACCCATTGATGGCTTATTTATTTGATGACTCATTGCTGGCTCATTTACTTAATAACTCATTGATGGCTTATTTATTTGATGACTCATTGATGGCTCATTTACTTAATGACTCATTGATGGCTTATTTATTTGATGACTCCTTGACGGCTTATTTATATAATGACCCATTGATGGCTTATTTATTTGATGACTCATTGCTGGCTCATTTACTTAATAACTCATTGATGGCTTATTTATTTGATTACTCATTGATGGCTCATTTTTTAATGACTCATTGATGGCTTATTTACTTAATGACTCATTGATGGCTCATTTATATAATGACCCATTGATGGCTTATTTATTTGATGACTCATTGATGGCTTATTTATTTGATGACTCATTGATGGCTTATTTATATAATGACTCGTTGATGGCTTATTCACTTGATGACTCATTGATGGCTTATTTATTTGATGACTCATTGATGGCTTATTTATTTGATGACTCCTTGACGGCTTATTTATATAATGACCCATTGATGGCTTATTTATTTGATGACTCATTGATGGCTTATTTACTTAATAATTCATTGATGGCTTATTTATTTGATTACTCATTGATGGCTGATTTATTTGATGACTCATTGATGGCTTATTTATATAATGACCCATTGATGGCTTATTCACTTGATGACTCATTGATGGCTTATTTATTTGATGACTCATTGAAATTGGCAGGGAAGTGATGAAGATGAAGAGGCGTTACGAGGTGGGACTGGAGAAACTGCAACTGGCAGAAGGAGAGGTGGGGGTGATGCAGAAAGAGCTGAATGGTCTGCAGCCCCAGCTGGTACAAGCCAGCAAAGAGGTAATCCCCCCTCAACTTTTTTCAGTGGAGATTTAATTGACCCGAAAGATAACCATAATATGGGTGGAAAGCGAGCTCAATCTATCAATTTCCATATTTTTCCATGCTTTTATATTCTAATGCAATAATGATCACAGTTTTTCAAGGGTCGTAATCATAGCTGATTCCGACCCCCAAGTGGGTTGACACAAAAATGAAACCTCAATTCGGTCAGTCACTGTTTATAAAACGATATTAAACTCATTTTAGGTAACAAGCTAGTTCGTTCCCACTGCAATGTACATGTAGAGCTTTGAAAAAGGCTTTATCGAGATTTCAAGAATTGTTAACCTTAATTTATAGTTTTGGGGCTTTCAGTTAGACGAGAACAAAACACTATCTTCCGTGGTGCTTAGATTGTTTCTATTTTTTAAATAACAGATCGTTCTTGACAGAGCGTTCTTCGAGTAGAACATTTTTTTTTTACAAAACCGTTCTTTCAGGCTTCTTCAAGTTTAATTCGTTCAAGTTTGAGATTAATTTTTGCCGACTTGAACGCCAAACGAAAGCTACAATCGCATTTTATCTGATGCACAGGCCTAATTATAGTAAAAAAAAAATTTTTTTGACCCTTCTCAAATCGAATAATTCTTGCGTGATCCAAAAAAGTTCCGATTGGCCAAAAAAATGGGTTCAGCCTGAACATTTTCTAAAATTTTTGTCGAATTATCACGCTATCCAGAGAGTTCAAACTAATCAGGCTTACAAAATTAAACAATTCAAAAGATGTAGATGGCTTTTTGCTTACTTTTTGATAAACTGTTTTGATTACATGTTTCTCAAATTTTGTTTATTGCCCCCAATCATCAAAATCTGTTACACATGTTTATTTTGTATCTTGGATGCTCTCAATTTGAAGATTTGGAAAAATTGAAAGCAACAAAAAACTCTAAAGCTATTTTTGACTGAGTGTGAATTTGTTTTTTTTGCGTTTTAACCATAATGAGGTCAAACTTGGCACTGGATAGGCGCACATTTTTGTGTCTTTATGTCACTGGAAGCCAGAGAGAGGTCTTTAAATATGTTCCAAAAATGAGTGGCTCCACTTATAAAATACTCATGGACTTAGCGCAAAATTACCTGTAACGTGATTTTTTTTGGCCAATTAGTTTTATCGCGGATTCCGCAACGAGTGAAAAAGATCAGTTGTTATTTCTCAAACGATGTTCTGGAAACGAAGATTCCGCAAATAAAAGCAAATTTTGAGTACAATTAGCGGATTCCGCTTACATTTTGCGGATTCCGTTTATAGTTAGGGATTCTGCGACAACGCAACTTTAATATACTCATCTATTATTAATTGTTTTCGATTTGGAAAAACTGTGCCGGATTGTGCCAAAGTTGTTGCGGGTTCCGCAAGATAGCATTTCTTGGAACAATTGTTATACAGCACAGTGTTTTAGTTATTTGTTTCTGTAACCCAAAGTACCAAAGCAGCAAAGAAGATTGCACAAATCTGTTTTAAAACTGTTGCGGAATCCGCTGGCTATTCACAAAACACAAAGTTTGGGCTCATAAAATTGCACAAATTTGTTTTCAACTTGAAGCGGAATCCACTGACTGTTTACAAATCAGAAAGTTTGACTCGTAAAGATTGTTGAAGTTCAGTCCAATTTAAATGTTAAAAGGAGCACAAACTGCTCTACCGAGCAGCACAAGTCTCATTACTAGTTTTGATAGTGGATTTTCTTTTTCAGATTTGCCTATCAAATTGTCAATCATAATTTGTTCTTGAAATTTTTTTAGCTTTGAAGGCATATGTGTTATTTTTAAATTCAAAAAGTTGAATTTTCCTTAAAAATTAAATCCGTATAAGGAAAATCAGTATACATCCGTGCATTCTTTGGCTTTTTTAGCTGTCTGCTGAACATGTTGTAGACATTAAAGCGTAATATTCGAATGCTGACAGTAGTTATTGATTGATAACTGATAGAAGCTTATAGTCTTTGGTCATTGCAAACAAATATATTCGTTGCCAAAATATAATCTCATATCAATAAAACATCTGAAAGTATTATACATCTTGATTTCAAATCCTGTAAAAAATATGTTTCAGCTGTGATCAGTTTCTGGAACAATATTTTGATTGTTCTTGTAGAATAATTAACGCTCGATTGAAGATAGTTGTTTTACGTTGATTTAGTCCGGCTCAGAAAAAATTCCGAATTGACTCGAGGCAATCTCTTGGGACTTATTAATATGTTGCTAAACTCGTCATTTCTAAATCATTGAATTCTGAGCTAAAATTTTCCTCCTAATAGAATATTTTACATAGCTTGTGGTAGTAAGAGTTTCATTTAAGAGTCAATGAAGTCTGAATTAAAAGTTTGTTTCCAATCGATTTTCTTATTTTTGAAATCTTAATTGTGATTTTGATTGATTTTTTGATTTACTTCCATAGATTTTAAGGGGCAGGCGTTCCCCTAATTTGAGAAATCTTGTCAATCTGAAATTTGATATAACTCGAACTGTCTGAAACTTTTCAGTGTCGTTTTTGGATTGCTGGCTTAATATATCTGAAGAAAGTTATAAAACGGGAAACTTTCCATGCATTTTATGCAAATTATACAGAGTCAAAATTAGACAGAGTATGACGAGCATCATTATTGAGTTTCAGAAAAAATTATAGGACGCAATTTAATTTGAAAACCCAGTTCGCGAATTGTACCCCAAAACTAGTTCAATTTTTTTTTTCATTTTTAGTCAACCAAAATCTTCTTCATTATAGAAAATGACCGTTTTTTTTTCAAATGGCATGTGATTGTTTTGCAAAATATTCAGAAGCTACAAGTGTTTCTTCTCAACTGTTTTTGATTTTGATAAGAAGCTCACTTTGACAAAACTGCTATGTACAAAAATGAAACGTTTTTTTTTTGTGATGCGAAATCTGATTGACTAAGAAGAGTAGAAAATGCAAAATTGCGCAGTTTATGTTTTTTTGGGCCCAAGCTTCGCAAAACAATTTGCAACAGAGGGTTTCTCATAAAAATTTAGGCAGTATGGTTCCGCGTCTTTTCTTTCAAAAAACATCCCAGTTTTTTTCATTTTGTTTTCGTAAACTCAATCGGCACCTAAATTAACCAAAAGAAAACCTTTGAAACTCGTTTTTCCTTAGCGATTTTTCAATTTATCAGCCTTTGCCAATTGTTTTTTTTAAAGTAAAATTCAAAGGTTCAATAAATTTAGTTTCTAAAAGATACAATTTAATTTCTGCCGTTTTTTGAAAACCCAAAGTAATGAAATAACAGGTCACAATATTGATGCAATCATAGACAATTAAGTATTTTTCAGCTACAATTTCTGCATTTTAAACTTAAATGTGACACCAATGAGTTAGCCTACCCTAATTTTGGAATACATTTTGATTTTAGTAAGTGTCTACAGACAAAGCTTTTCATAAATGACAAAACATAATGATGAAATGTATGCCTGTTGTTATCAATAGTTTGAATAGTCAACTTTATGTTCAAAAGAATTTTGATCTTCACTTTAAAAGCGTTCATCATGAGAAAAAAATTGTATACTAGCGAAACTGTCAGCCCTAGATTTAATACTTTTCGGTAATATGCTACCTTTCTTGATATTGGAGAAAAAACTTCAAAAAAAAATTCAGCAAATATCTATCCTGGAAACAAAACAATCATTAGCGGAGCACAAATGCTTAATTTTAGGTATTTGAATCAAATGTTAAGTGCTTAGATTTTACTCATTTCGACAATTTGTTCGCCTGTTCAAATTTTTAATATTCAACATGCTCCCATTCGTCCTTCAAAACTGATTTCAAATATTTCCCGGTTCAAATAAAGCGTTAATAGACGCACAGTTTATCATCGTGGACTTGAAGTATAAATGCGTGACTTTCGAAGAAAAATCAAAATATCTATTTGTTCCGACTTTCGATACGAAAGTAACGGAATATTTGTGCTCGGGGTGGGTTTTTTTTCTTCAGACAAATTTCGACTTTTTAACTAGCCATTTTTGACAGAATTTTTTTAAGACATCATTCAAAAGGTATTGTTGTCTTGAGCTTAAATTTGAAAAGATATTTTACCTGTGATCGTTTTTCGTAAAGTTATTAGGGTTTAAAGATTGCCAGTTTGACCAATTTGGGACAATTAACGCGCAATATAATTCGCGCTATTAACGCGTAAGCGAAATTTAATCCGTCTTACAAATCGTTCCAAATTGGTTGAACGAAGCTTATTTACCATAATTGATTTGTTACAAGGAACGAAATCTATCTTTTTGTACTTTATATGGCGTCTGGGGGGATAATTTTCATAAAAATTTTCAAATTAAAAAAAAAAATTTCATTTCATTTTATTTCATTTATTTTTTTTTATGTATTACTGCTGCTCAATAAACCTTACTGCAGCAGTCGGAACATTCAGGGCTTTGCCCTGATACGAGCAGTCTTGTTTAGGCTTTATAATTTATAGCTACTTCGTACGATCTTTTGAAATTTGTTGTTGCAAAATTAAGTTCTGAAACAAGACACTGCTCATATACCAGGGCAAAGCCCTGATTGTTCCAACTGTCCCTTAAATCTTATCGAATAGTCTTTGTGAAAAGAAAACATTGCAAACCTACACTTTGGACAATATCAAAGTGTAAACTTTTGAGTCGTACGAAATTAATACACGAATTAGCTAGCCTCAATTCAATTTTGAACGACTTTGTTATGCGGGATAATTCTCCACGCATAAATTTTTCGCGATACGCTCTTACTGTTAGGAATCATTTCTCCAGAGCGCGCATAATTTAGTCCAGAACAGGGCCAATTTCGCAATTTCCAAACCCCCAGAACTCAATGTCTTCAATGGCTTAATGAATATATTTTTGTTGAAAACTATTATTCCGATCGGCGAAAACTGACTGAATAAAAAACCACACCGAGCATAAAAGTTCCGTCTTCTTCGAAAGTCGGAGCTATACCAAACAAGTAAATGGTAAATGGTATTCAGTTTTTTTGCGCTCAGAGACGTCTGAAAACAGGTAGAAGTTGTCTAATGAAGATCTCCTAGACTGAGTTCCTTCAAGTGGTTATTTTTATAATTTATATTGATCAATGTGAACCTATACTGGAAACATTTTTTATGACTATTATTTCAAAAAATGAATTTTGAAACAGAAAATCCATGTGTTGGTAAATTGAACTGAAGTGAAAGACAGGATAAATCTCAGAAATTAAAGACTTCAATAGTTTGTCAGTGAAACAGAAAGTTGTCCATGAAACAAAACAAGACTGCTCGTATCAGGGCGAAGCCCTGAAGGTTCCGACTGCCTTTTAAGGTTTATCGAGCTGTAATAACATTAAAAATTTCAATGAAATAAAACAAAATGAAAATTTTTTTTCTTCTTAAATTTGAAATTTTTATGAAAATCATCCTCCCCACACGCCATATAAAGTACAAAAGGATAAATTTCGCTACTTGTAACAAAGCATTTATGGCAAATAAGCTTCTTTTAACCAATTTGGAACGGTTTCTAAGACGGATTAACTCTCCGCTTACGCGTGAATAAAGCGAAACATATCGCGCGTTAATTGTCCCAAATTGGCCATAATGGCAATCTTTAAACCCTCATAACTTTACGAAAAATGATCACAGGTGAAATATCTTTTCAAATTTAAGCTCAAGACAACAATACCTTTTGAATGATATAAAAAGATTCTGTCAAAAATGGCTAGTTAAAAAGTCGAAATTTGTCTGAAAAAAAATCCACCGCGAGCACAAATATTCCGTTACTTTCGTATCGAAAGTCGGAACAAAAATAAAATCATCAAATGATGCATTGAAATGAAGTGATACAACACAGAAAATGAAGACTTCAAAAGGTTGTTTTTAGTTCAATTTTTTTTCAACAAAATTGGTTTGGTTTTGATATATATAACAACTAAAAGAACAGTTGCCAGTCCAATAGCATATCAAATTTAAGTCACGGTGATTCTTCCAACTGAAGATCAACAAGACTTCAAATTTTTTTTTGTTGTTTTTGTCTAGATTGTTGAGAACAGATCAGTCAAAAGCCACCGCTATTGATGAAGCAAGGACTATTTGTGCTAAATTAGAACTAAGTTTGTTCTTCCACGCCGTTTGTTTGATAGCAAAACTCGAAAATGTATATTGAATGCATGAATGCAAGATTTTTGCAAGAACCTTTATTGAATGCAAGATTTGTTTGATAGCAAAACTCGAAAATATACATTGAATGCAAGATTGCAAAATTTTTGCAAGAACCTTTATTGAATGCAAGATTATTTATTGAATGCAAGATGATGGTTGTGAAAATTATGAAATAAGTTTCATTGAAAAAAAACAACCAAGAAATAAAAAATCTGAAATTTCGATTCCGCAAATGAAACCGAAGAAATAAAAAAATAATATAGTGGTTTTCAGTAAATTTTACAAAAAGACGTGGTTGAAAAATGAGGTTTGAATTGAACTTGACTGAAACTTGCTGTGTCGAATTATAAACCAACATTGAATTTTTGTGTTCTCAAGACAAGGATTCACTCTCAATTTCTCTCCAAACTAACATTTACCAGGTTTTTCTCCGCCTGCTTCAATTATTACTTTTTATGCGAGGAATCAATTTCCAAATTCGTCAAGTTGCAAGCAACCTAACTCTCAACTTTTTAGCATGAATTTGATTTAGAGCAGCTCTGATTATCGTCAACTTTTTTCCATGTCGAGAAAGATGTGAATAGAAAAACTAATATTAAAATTTTTTTAATTGAAACTCAATCAAATGACCTATAGTTTGCTTTTTTTAGCATTGACAGAATCGTTTTGTTTTATTACCCTGGTCGTTCAAATTCATTACCAGTTTTTTGCGGTTTCGGATTTTTTCTAATTTTTGTTTTTGGTGCTCAACCATTAGTCGCGAAAGGTCCTCAAACATTTCATCAACTCCTGTTCCATCTTTGGCTGATGTCATGTACCATTTATGGAATTTGTGCTCTTCGGAGACCGATTCAATGCTTCTTGTGTCGATTGTACCTGTGAACATTGATGAGTTTAAAGAGAAACACTTATGAATTGGTAAATTTGCCGCTACATAAAAAAAATTGGAGATCATCCGATACCCACGAAGATCTGTGATTGTTGCCTAGGCGAAAACATAGCCAAAAAAGCGTACCTTCCATTGAATCGAAAAAATTGAACTTAACGCTTAAATATTTAGCTTTTATCTATGAGCTTTCGATCTCAAATGAGCCGAAAAACTAAATTTCCGGCTCAATTTGAGACAATTTTTGATAACCGTTTTTGTCCAATGCAAACCAGTTAGCAATAAATTCATCCAATTTTTAGCGCTCAAAATTTCTTGTACGAGTGTTTCATAAACTTTTGTCAGTCAAAACTCATATTTCACAAATGTGTCAATCAATATAATTTTTTGTCCGTCAAAACTTAGTTTTCAAGGCCGACTGAATATTCAATTTTTCATCAATTTTTTTACGAAACATTCGAGTATCAAAAATACAGCAATCATTTGATACAGCAGTTTTTCTGCTATTTTTATTGTCAATTCAATCAATTGATATGGAAAAAATTGAAAAAATCAAAACTTAAGGAAAGGATGTTTTCTTAACCACTTTTTCCAACCCAGATCATGTATACACTTTTTACCTTCAAAATTGTTAAAAATGTTTAGAGACTGAGTATTTTTTTTCCGCTTTTTTGCGTTTTTTATCAACCTGTGAACAAAATTCACTGGGCAAATTTTCTTAGTTTTTCTACCAATTTTTTTTAAAACAAAAATTAGACTTAAAGAAAAAAAAATTGAAAGCAAAATTTTATGTCTTTTAGGCTAAAAAAAACGCACTGGCCAACATTTCTCAGAGCAAAAAAGACAAAAATAATGCCAAAAAAAATTGAATTGGTTTGATGTGGAATCTGGCCGTTTTTCGAATAACTTTGCAATGCTTGTTTTCATTTCCCCTTTTTGTTTTGACGCAAAACTCCCATTTGAATAAGGAAATGTGCGGCTCGTCCTATATTGAAGCTTCACTATTAAAAAAAGAGTGTAAGCTAAACTTTTTCGAGTTTCAATAAGTTTTCCAAATAAATTTTCAGATCTCCAAAGCTAAGTATCTTAATGATTTATGGGAAGAGCTGACTTGTGAAAAAAACATCCGAGAGCTTGCCGGAAAACGATATTGTAGTTAAACTATTAATCGAAAATCTCGGTAGATATTTTAGATGCTTTTAACTTTTCAAATGTTAGTGATTTGAAATTTTTTAAAAATTTTTTCACTGGAATCCTTAATTGCCAGCAAAGTTTCCTCAAATTTTGTAAACCATTTTCGATTTCTTTTTTTCTTTGTTTTTTCACTGCTATTGAAAGAATGGGGTGGAATTTTGGCGGAAGCTTGAATTAATTTAGTTGTCAATTTGAAAACTTTAATGCAAGTTCGCCCCTTGAGTTATGATTTTGATTCCAAAAAGTGATTTGAAAAAAATTTACTTAGAGTCAAGAAAATTGGCTCAAAAATTGGCTCAAAAATTGGCTGAAAAAAGTTTACTTAGAGTCAAGAAAATTGGCTCAAAAATTGGCTTAGAGTCAAAACAAAAGTTAAAAAAAAAACAGACAAAAAGTTTTTGTGGAAAGAAACGTTTAATCTATACCCAAACCTATGTTGCTAGATCCTTTCCGAATGCTTTTATAGCAACTAGATACCTTTGATTTTTGAACTATTTTGGGAAAATTTGGATTTCCTGGCCGCAATTTGGTGAAAAGAATGTTCATGACAATGCAAGCTGAGTTCGCACTTTTTCAATGACGAACTAAACACTATTTGTTTTTTTTTTGTAACACAAAGTTAGCTATATTGTTGCGTTTCATAGCATTTTCTGGAGTAAAGGCAAAATCTTCAACTTACCATGAAAATTGAGTAATTGGTTATGTTAAAAAAGCTCAGACCTGTTTGATACCCTCATTTTTAGTTCGCCTCAAGCTCCTGCATAAAATAGATTCAAAACTAAACCTTAAAAATTATCGTACAAATGATCAGTTAACTGGTCATAGCACCAATTAAAAAGACTGAATTGAGGTTAGTTTCAACCTAACCTCGCTTTTATTAGTATAACTAGCAAATTTTATGAGACCAGAAAATTAGTTGTAGGATTGGAGTTGTTTGGGAATTAATCTAACTAGTTGTAAGAACCTATCCTGTCAAAATTAGATAAGTTGACGAACAGACGGAGTCTTTTATCAAAAAATAAGACTTTTGGCTCTGTGTCACTATCCAGCAATTGACGCATGTTATAACGAACATTTATTGTGATGAAAAAGCAATTGGGTGGAATTTGATTTGCTTTACCTAAGTCACTCTTTGTTCCAACAAGAACGCATGGAAGGTCATCGTCCAGAACAGATAAAGACATTTTGCGCCACTCTGACAAACTGTTCATAGAGCCGTCCATCCCAGCCAAACTGAAAAAAAATCATCACAACTTATTTTTTTGATAAGACCTTGATAATATGTTTCACTAACGTTTGACTTAACTGCGAATTTAAAAAAGAAATTAAAGTGTCCAAAAAGTCATTTTGGCGATCCGGTGGTATTTGGCATTGCGGCGATCCGGTAGCGATGGTGTTCAGTAAACTAGGCAAAAGTATATTATGCTACTATGAAAGAGGTGACATTAGCAAAAAAAAATTAAGAAAAAGTGTATTATTTCAGTTTTATAACTTAATTTGATAATTGACGCGCAGGGGATTTAGGGGTGGGTCTGTTTGGACGCCCCCCCTTTAGAAAATTAACCCATGACTAACCAAAAGATTCCCTTTGGTATTATTTTCACTGACCGACCTTTAGTTTTTTTAAACTCCTTCTGCGCCAATATTAGCAATTTTTCAGGAGAGAGCGAGCGCCAAAATACAAGATTTTTTTTTGTGGTCAAAGCGTTTTTATAAGTGCTTAAAAAGGTATTTTTGCCTGTTTGTATCAAAACTTGACTGCTGTGCAGAAAGTTTGGTCAAAATAGACAACAAATGCGAACTTCAAAATAATCTGACTTTTTACATCGTCATCAAACGCTTATAGAGTATTGATTCATCTCAATCCTCAAACACTGAAGCATTTTTTGAGATTGAAGCTGGAGTATTGAAAAAACGAGAAGTCATCGAGATGTCAAAAGCGAAACAAAAAAGGGCAGAGCTTCTTCTCGGATAAAAAGCTAGGTTATGATGTGTATCAGGAAGGTTAGGATAAAAAACTTACCTAAAGTTTGAGATGGAATACTTATGATCTGATACAATAATAATTGCGTCATCGATTATATTTTTATATTAGTTCGAGCTGAATAAACTGCCAAACCGTTTCAATCAGGGGCGGATTTAGAGAGGGGAGGGGGTGGAACCTTCCTCAGGGATTTGACCCCTGCCGACCCAAAAAGTCCCCCCGTTGTAACTAAATATCCACTTTTGGCTGAGGGACCCAAAATTTTTACCAAAAGCGCTTTGGGCGCCAATATATACTAATTTTTAGGGGGGACCGCCCCCTCCCCTCGAGAAAATCCTAGATCCGCCCCTGGTTTCAATCACGGTTGATTTCCATAATCTCAATCAACTGTATCACTGAAATCTATGCTTTTTTGTCGTATGCACTTGAAAATTAACAAACATGGGAGCGTCTGAACGAACTGGACATTCATACCTAATGAAACAATACGTTTTAAAGCTTTTTTGTTACTGGTACGTATCGACAAACTACCAGGCTTTTCTATCCCTGCAAAAATCATAATCATAAGAATCTTGCGTCGCACCATTCCGCAAAAGTTTTTTTGTCTCTGAAACTATCATTCCAACAAAGCCATGATTTGGTTACCTTAAGTGGATTATTGTCTAAATAGATTTCATTATAACCTGAACGTGATTATAACTCCACTTGCATCTTTGAAAAAGTTCCTGGTGACCGATTTATTTGACCTGTATTGGCCAGCTATGTCCCAAATCTGAAGTTGAATATTCTCTCCGTCGATGCACAACGACTTGCTTGTAAAATCCGCCCCAACTGTCATCTTGTATCTGTCAGTGAACACATCTGAACAAAACGAACGAAGTGAACACACTTGTACGGGCGTGTTTGTTGTTTTTTCAGCCAAGTTTTGAAAATTGTTCACGCTCAAACTTGAAATCTCACATTTTGGCTTTTGATTTATTTGTAATTTTGTGATTTAATTTTTGTTGCTAAATGAAAAACTATTTAAACTTTCCATTATCAACTCTATAATTTTTGCAAAAAAACGTGATTTATATTAAGTTTTGAAAAAGGGTTTTTAATTTGCAAATATTCCTGCCGAACAAACACATTATCCATTGGTCTATACTTTTCATTCTGTTTGCTGCGATATAATACGTAAATGAAAAAAGATCAAATGGACCTTTTAATGTTAATGTTTAATGTCAGAGGAATAAGATTAGTAGCATTCAAAACATCAGATCTACAGGCAAAAAGTTGAACCCTGTTTTCAGACTGCTAATCTATTGATGATTTTTCTTGCTGATGAAAACATGCAGCGAGGATAAACGGAAACATTGCCAATAAATGTTATTCAAACCAATGCCTTTGTAATCTTTGGGGTTCTAACATGACAGATTGGTCCTTCAAAAAATAATTATGATATACAGGTAGGTCCCGCATGCAAATCGGATTTATTAAATTTAGAACTTGAGAAACATGCTGAATTATAATTGCAAACTATGAGTCAGAAATTTTTTAGCTTAATAATTGTAACCACTATATAATTTATTCCAAGAAATAGGCTCGCTTCATTTTTTTCTCTAATTTGACAACTGAAATTGTGTTTATTTTTTTTTTCAATTTAAAACAGAGTTTTTGGCATTTTTTTTGAATTTTCCACCTTTCAATAGTGAGGGAGAGATTTTACGAAATAACGAAACAAATTTATTTGTAGATATACTGCGACATCCTTCTGAATGGTGAAATCACATTTATAAAACGATGTGAGAGCTCTAGTTGCCTTATTCTCAAGGAACCGCTCTATCATAGTAGTATCAGTTCTTGTATCTCTTGTAATTTTTGACCTTCAAACTACCACTTTTTTCAGTTCATTAATGTTCATAGCAAAAAAAAATATTCGAAGGCATAAAAATAAATCGATATTTGCTTTTAAGAAGAAGAATTCTTACAATTCTTTCAGACAAAAGAAAAAGTAGTGATGTTAGGCAAAAAATAAAATGATCTTGAAAATAGTAGTGCATTTTTTAAAAGAACTTATCAGATTTAAAAATGTAATCACCATATTTTTTATATCAAGAAATGAGCTCGCTTAATTTCAATTTACGATTTAACAACCATAATTGGGTTAACTTATCCTTAATCAAAATCAATTTGGTGGTTTTTTTGTAACATCGACCATACAATGGTGAGGGGAAAATTTTACGAACCAGCGGAACCTACATTGCTTGAAGATAAACTTCGACATCTTTCCGAACGAAAATGTTGTATTTATAAAACTATTTGAGCGCTCTAGTTGTTTTTTTTTCAAGGGACCTGGTTACTTTCAAAGGACCACTCTATCATACTAGTACCATCTCTGTTACCTTTTGTTATCTTTTGACATTGGAGCTACCCACGCTTTTCATTTCAATAAAGCTCATTGCAATAAAAAGTTTTAGAAAACAAAGGTATTAAGCTGATATGTAATCAGCAAACTTGATGTTTAAACAAAAAAGATGCAAAGGTCTTAATTTTATTAATATAGATTCGTTAGCAATAAAACCCAACCAAAATCAAAACCGTTTTTTTTTTATTTTGAGGTTGTAACATAATTTTAACATCGATTAATGTTTTTAAGTGGAGCTAAAATAAAGTTAGAGTGATTTACCCGCCATAAGTGTGAAAATCGTTTTTGTAAAATGTTGAAATTTTTGTACAGTTTGTCCTCTAAGGCAGCTCTAGAGGTTTGTCCCTAAAATTATATTATGTTTTTTTGCTATTCTTCTCTAACAATTTTTTCTTAGATCAGTTGGAAATCATTGAAGCAGAATATTCTAATTTGTCAGCAAATATTCACTAAAACATTCTCAATACGCAAAAACTACTGATTTACTATACTACTCGTGTGAATGTAAGCCCAGCGGAGCTACTTTTCAATGCCATGTACGGAATTAACAGCAGTACTCACAAAATTGCTAGCATGTTATTGATCCGACTTTCGAAGAAAACGGAATATTGATCTTGGCGTGGTTTTTTTATTCAGTCAATTTTTGGCGATCAAAATAATAGTCTCATCAAAAATTTTTTATGCCCCATTGAAGATATCGTTTTCCAGAAATCAAATTCAAAAAGTTATTTTTTCTCCGATCTTTTTTGCAACGTTTTGAAAGTTTGAAAATTGCCAATTTGGCCATGTTCTTGGCTAATTTATGCGCACTTCGTAATTTTTATCCATAATCTTGAAAACGTAACGCGATTTTTTTGTGCATGGCGAATTATCCCGCACAACACAATCGTTCCACCAAATTGAATAAATGCTAGCTAACTGGTCGTTATAATTTCTTACCTCAAAATTTTTTGTTGATGTTGTCTAAACTTTATAGTTTTTCAATATTTTCTTTTCCCAAAAAAAACTCGATTAGGATCAGGGTTATCAGGGGATTTGGATTAGGGGGCTATCGAAACCTTCAGGGTTTCGCCCTGATATACGATCAGTCTTGTTTGCTTTTATTTTTGACGAAAGTTGCATTAGTTTATTTAATATACTGTTCCAATTCATCAAAATTAACTCGGAATTTGTTGTGAAGCAGCGTAATACACGTTAAGTTTCACAAATTTAACAGTATAACAATCTATATGAAAAAAAATAAGGTGAAAATTGCTCACTGTCTATGAATCTGTTGACAAGACAAGTTTTCCCAGTTTGCATGTCGCCTCCAATGGCAATTTTTAACTCACGTGAAGTCATTTTGAACTGACACAAAAAACGTGTAAACAAAAAATAACTAACTGAAAAATTTAACTTGATAGAGTACGTACAATTGTTATCGAGCTTTTGACAAAACTTCTTCTACGATTGAAACAAACAGGAACTTTTTTAGTTCTTCCTTCAAATATTTTCAAATGTTAAGTTTTCAAAAAATCTTCCGCACGCTAAACCAAGTAAATTTTCAATTTAACTTCTAAAATTTATAAGGTAACTAATTTTTAACGATTTCTTGGTGATGCATTTGAGTCAATGCTATAAATTAAATTTCTAAAAAAATCAAATTTTTGTGTTTTGGAATAACACTGAATTACTTTTTGAAAGTATGTTTTTGATTGCTTTCCTTGTACTTTCAGTTTTACGCAAACAAAATTTTCGAAACTTGTTTATTCTATTATGCAATATAACGTCATGTTGCAGGCTAATTTTGTTCTTAATTCATATATCAAAATGTCAGGTAAACTTACTATTGAACTGGATTGTTTGTTGCAAATGATTAACTTTCAATTTCACCATTTAGTGGAAAATTCAAATCGAGGTTTATTTCATCCGAAGAAGAATGTTTTCTGGAGATATTTTGCATCCGACTAAAACGGATAAGCTTGGGGAAATTCATTGAAACCTTTCGAAATAATGAAACTAAAAGAAATCCAAAAATTTCAGATTCGCAAAGCACATTGATTGTCATAACTGGCGTCGAATCCACTTGGGATATTTTCAAGGCTCATTCGTTTCGAATCTGCTTTCTGAAAAAAACATTTGTCACGAAACTTGAACAAACAATTTTATGTTTACCAAACAATGAACAAACTTGTGAACAAACAATTTTCTGAAGATAGAATTGGTTGTTATTTCAAATACTTTTATGTATGTCGACCAAAATAGTTTTTCGTGCTTTCTCAAAACATTATGAAAAAACGAAAGTTTTTTCGAAGGAAATTTTTCGAACAGAAAAAAAAGACCAAAAAAATGTTTTGAGGATGTTTCGAAAGGTTTTGACTAAAATTTTGCCGTTTTTTTTTTCAGCACTCGAACCTCATATTTAATACTCAGAAAACTGTTTTGCTTTTGAGAAAATTTTTACTTGATTGGTCTGAACTGAATGGTGTACATGTAAATAAGGGTCACGCGTCGGCCTGCCAGTGGCTTAAATGTTTCAAAATTCCGGTTGAAAAAAAACTGTTGATATGTTACAATTTCATACATTTAATAGTTAGTTAGTATGAAAATAAACTTCCTCGTGTTGTTAAAGAGGGATTATTTTCTTATTTTCAACGAAAAAAAAACAGAAAGAGATTGAAAAATGAAAACACCAAGAAGCTGGCTTTAGATATGAAGCTTTTTTTTGATGAAACGTCATAAAAAAGACAGCTCTAGTAATTTTGTAGATTTTTTTTAGCAATCTTTGCCCTTTAATTCAAATATGAAAATAATCAATAAGCTACTAAATTGTTATCAAATTGATAGCGCAATCTCTAAATTTAGCTGTTTTGTGGGTCTTCCAATTGAGTTAGGACCGAGTTGGTTAACTCATAGAGTAATTTCGGATAGGGTACACCGTCTGCTCGTCACGCTATCTTATTTTCGGCCGGATAGATTCGTGCAACTTCTTAGTCTAATACCGATCCTAATCTTACTCTTATACTATCTAGTCTCAGGTTGTTTAACTAGTCTCTGCTAGGCTCAATAGATCTAGGGTATACTGGTTTATTGCGGCTGCTGAAGTGCTCGGGAGAGTCCAACTAATTTCTAAGTTAAATTCAAATCTCTCTGGTGCTGAAATTACAAGTAACTTCAGCACTTACACATAAGTGGGTTGTTAGTTAGATGGATCATGATTGGTTAATATTAAATACTTTACATTGGTAAAATATCTAAATTATCCAATCATAAAATGTAGTTTAGATCAGGTTCCACCCATCCGGGTTTTACAGAGTTTTTTAGAATAGTTCTTCTGCAATTCGAAGGATGGATGATGGACGTTGGTGTTTGGCGAACATCATTTTCTTCCGTTTCTTCTTTGTTAAAGAAGTTCCAGGAAGCTGGAGTTATAAGACGTTGTGTCTTCTAGTGACAACGACTAAGCCTTCGCAACAAACTCAAATCTGATTTCAGAATGGTTGGCTATGTCAGGTTTTTCTGTTCTGCGTGGAGAACTTCTTTTGTGTCTGATCTAGTTTGGGAATGGCGTGGAGATTGTGCGTGGAGGGGATGCCTGGTTACTCGGATCTGTACGTATACTTGAACATCGAGGTGGTCATTGGTCTAGTTCAATGAAGTCCTTTTCTGCGAAGTCAAGTCGTACTCTAAATCCTTTGAGTTGTGATTGTGAGTGGCATATTGATTGTGGTTGGCTATTCTCTCTCGAGTGTAGTGGGGTCGTTTTGTCTTTAGATGTTCGTCCTTGGTGTTGTATTTTGATCTATGTATTGCATAATGTAATTTACATTTTATAAAACATTTATTAGTTTAATATTTTTTAATTATGATTTTAGTTAGTTGTTTTCACAAAAGCTTTTTGTTTTAGTTCGGTTATTTTGAAGAGTTACTCACACTTGAGTAGCTCTTATTAAAAATAGAGGTGTGGTCACAAAGCGTGGATGTAGCGCGGTGGGTTAGGCCGGCTATAGAGCATGCTCAGGACGTCCTTCCTGGTGGGTTAGGCCAGGAGTGGGAGTATGATTTCATGCGGTTTTTATGAGGGGTCCTGTTATGTGACAACGTTTTATGTTGGGTTTGTTGTGGTTTTTCTTATGTCTTGTTGGTTATGTCCTTTTTCCAAAAAGCAAATTGTTCGTGGTATGGGTTTGTCTTTCGACTTTTTTGTGTTTTATTATTTCTTTCTTAGACTTTATAATAGTCTTCAAAAGAATAAATTATCCAGTTTTAAACTGGGTTAATCCGGTTTGGGTACCGTTGGTTTCCTTTTCTTAGTCATGCTGTTATTCTATGATTTGTGGTATTTAGTAAGCTGCGTTGGTTAGTTTTGTTTAGTATATGATTCCTTTCCAACCGGGTTAAAGGAAGGTTTGAAACATGTTATTATATGTTAGAGTTGTTGAGTGTGAAAACTTGAAACTGAAATTCATTATTTTAAACAATTCTTCGTGGGCGAGCTGTGCGAGTGTGGATAGAATTTCTGTGCGAATGAATGAAAATATCAAAAGGTTAGTACTGCAATTGCATTTTATTAATTTACTGCATAGAATTTGGAAATTTACTGCTAGTTATGGGGGAATTTTAAGTTACAAATTTTCATTATAATTAGATTTACTGCTTGTGGGGAAAATTTTAGAAATGAATTTACTGCATTGGTATTAAATTTATAAATTTATAAGTGTAAGAGATTAATAGAATTTTTGAAATCTGTTTGATGAAATTTGCGATTTTTATTTGTCTTTTGTGGTTTTTGTAGGTGATTGTCGGATGAAGGCTAAAAATCTAAAAAAAACATGGATAAAGTATGGTGAGTTTTTTAATATTTCAATTAGTTAGTTATATTCATTTAATTCATACTTACCTGTTAGTCGTCGGGGAAAAAACCGTGGGGGAAGATGTCGTGAATTAGTTCTGAAGTTGTTAGTAGTTTAGCTAAGATGCGGATGATATTTTTAGTCTGAAGCAGTGGCCAAAGCAATTGAAGTGCCTTAATAGTGGTTAGTTCTTCAGTGCCAACTGCAAACTCATAAGGTGTGTTTTGGATTAGATTATATAATTTGTGATTGAATTTAGTGTTGTGAATGAATTCTAAAATTGGGATTTCTATAGGTTGTACAAACTCGTGCGGGATAAGGAAGGGTCGGGATTCTTCGGCGTTGAAGGTGGTGTTTGGTTATCTTGGGATGATGTCGGTGAAGACTGACTTTGTGACTGTTGGGTAGCAATTTTTGATAGTTTTTTGAATTATTACTTTAGTGAGAAATTTTGTGTTTATTATAATATTCTTCCAAAAAAAGAATTAGAAGGATTGTTGCTAGGGCAAATGTGAGGATTGCTTTCTTTATACATTTACATATTGTCAAAATGAGGGATGATAAGAATGCTATGAAAATTACAAACAATAAAAAAATATCGGTTCTACTGAAAATTGTTCGTATCATTTAGACAAGTTATATGACTCGTACCTGTGGATGTAATCAAGGGTTTTGGAAAGTTGGAGGAATAGTTCGAGTATAGTGTAGAAAATTAAAAAAATGTTACAAAAAATATTTAGGATTATTAGAAAAGATTCAAGTATATCAAAAAGAAATATTATAAAGGTTTCAAGTATTGTAAAAAAATGTTTAAGATTTATGAGTATTTGAGTAACTGATTGAGAGAAGAGCATTTAAGAAATGATCTCTTGGTCGAATATTTTTTGCTGTTTGAGGCGATTTTCTAGTGTGGTCGGATTATTTATTAGTTTTTTGACAAGTGGGTTGAGTTCTGTAAAAAATTGTTGGGGGCAATTTTCATGGTGACTGGGAGGTCGTCTTTTTCTTTATTTTTGTTTGTCAAATGATCCGGGGTATGGTGAGATTTTTATACTTTAGGCTAATTAAAATGTTCATTTTGTTACTTTAGGCTAAGTTAACAAATTTGCTTTGGGGGTATTCGTGGTCTGAGTTGGGGAAATATTGTTGATCTTTGGGTTATTAGATAAGGGAGGGGTACGGTATTATGGTGATATTTATTTTAGTTGTCAAGTTGGAGTGGTTTGCTTATTTTTGACCTGGAGGTCGTAAAGTTATAGTTATAGATGTGCCTGGAGTTCTATATGATTCGTCTAATTGGTCTTAGTTTGAGTTAGAGAAAGTGACGGATTGGATGAATCCTATTGGTCTATTTTGAACTAGAATTATTACGTACTTGTCAGCATGTTATTTTGAAAAATGTAAATGAAAAATGTTTCGGAGGTTTCAAGATTGTGAAGCAAATGTTAAAATTACTTTTGAAATTCCACTTTCTTTAAAATTTTAGATTGGGGGATGAATATTTTATAGTTTTTACGTGGTTGATTTCGGAGTCTTGTTGTTTTTCTATTTTCTGATTTGTCGATTTGTTCTTGGGGTATTATTTGTTCGGTCATTTTTCTATTTTTTCTTTGTTTTGGAGATTCTTTATGGTTTTGTGTATTGATTTTGGTGGCGATTGGTTTTGTGTTTTGATTTTCGGTGGGGTTATCATTTTGTTCTGT